CCAAGTTGCCCAGGCGGGCCTCGAACCCGCGGGCTCAGGCAATCCACTCACTTCAGCCTCCCAAAGGTGCGGGATTACAGGCTGAGCCACCGAGCCCAGCTAAAATGATAGATTTTAAAGGTCTGCATATCTATAAGTGAACAGACTCTGGAACATTGATGAGTATAAATGCTAATTAGTGACCGTGAGCTCAGCACAGAAGTGATTTTGTGTAGCACATGGCACCTCCTGATGAGTCAAGAGGGCCGGAAAGGCAAAGGGCCACATGTCTGAGCTCGAGTGGCAATGGACCTGGCTTTACAGCCCAGCAATGCCGTCCCACAGCTGTGTGAGCTGACAGACATGGGTCCCCCAGGCTGTTTCCTCACCTCTAACGTGGAGGTTACAGCTATGTTTCTCAGTGGTAGCACTGAGGATTAAATGGGTTCTGCAGGCAAAGCTCTCGGAGCTCATCCCTGTAGATCAGCCTAGGACTGGGCGCGTAGCAGGTACTCAATAAATATTCCCTCTATTACCTCACCCCACGTGGCCTGGCGGTGGTAGGGAGAGCCAAAGGGTGTTTCCAGTGATGCCTTTCCAGCCTGCTCTGTCTGCAGGACTCTCAGAAACACGGAAGCCCTGGTGTCTGTGCTGAGGCTCTGGCCTGACCCCGGATACTCTTCACCTTAGGTGACTCAGATACCTGAGCCAGGGTTGGTGCTGTGAGGATGGACGTGAGCACTTGGGGTTTTCAAGTTGCTTTCTCCTCTGGCTAGTTCCTGCAGGTCCTGCTGCCCTAGCTTCCTCAGAGCAGGGCCCAGGGCCTGAGGTCAGCACTCAGGTCACTTGGCTGGTAGGAAACATATGTGGACTCACTGGTATTTATAACCTGTGTTCTGACACTTTTTCTCACCTTCTTGACAGTACCTGAACCAGTTTGAGAATTGCTGTGGCCTGCGGGAAGAAGCCATCCTTACTTTGCTGAGTGACATTGGTAAATCCCAGCCAGGGAGTCAGGCCGTGCCCTTCAGAAGAGTGTGTGGTACCTCCTGAGTCCTCACAGAGCACCAAGGGGAGACACTTCAGTCCTTTAGTCTTTAAGTAGGGAGCAGGGGTGGGGTGGAGACCCTGGTGGAGTCAGGAGGTCAGCAAAGGGCTAGTCAGACAAGCACTAAACTCAAATAGATTGCCCTTTCTGAGTAAGCCTTCAAGTGAATTATGATGTATAGAGATTTCCTTTCCCATTATAAAACTCCACTCCCTGCTTTCCTGGAATGACTTGCAATGGAATAGGTTGCCATCTGAGTGAATTTCATCCTTTGGTAATAGATTTTCCACTCCCATATTGGCAGTTCTCCACTCACCATGGGCATAGGAAACACTGCCCTTGTTTAGCCCTTTGATACTGCCAGAGTTCCCTTGACAGGGTTGTCTGCAGCGCATCTAAGAAGGCCAGGCTGTCCCTGGGAGAAGTGTAGCCTCAGCCCAAGGGGTCAGTGGAATCTCCTGAACCCTGGGGCCACTGAAGGAGGGGAATTAGAGGGGCCCAAAAAACCAACTCCCAACTCTGGCCTAGGAAACAGGCAGAAGGGAGGGAGACTCACTAGGGTTTTTTGTTTGTAAATCTCCAAGGTTGTTAGTTGATAGTTTGGCCTCTAAGGTTTAGAGTTATCCACAGTTTATCTTGATGTTGGACACCAGATTTGGGGAATGGTTCCATTTTTAGCCTCTCCTGGTTCAGTCTTTTGAAGCTGTGTGTGTGTGTGTGTGTGTGTGTGTGTGTGTGTATGTATGTGCGTGCTTAAACTTTTTTGAAAACTGTCAAACATACAGAACAGTTAAAAGAGTAGTATAGTGAGACTCAAACACTGTACCATTTGACATGTTAACATGTGGAACATTTAACATTGGTAAAGCCATAGTGGTAGAGCCATGGTCTCTAGCCTGTGACCTGGGAGCACAGGTAGTCCTCCAGCCTCTGACATACTTGACTCTGTTGGTGCAGGTCTGCCTCTGTCTGGCTTCACCGCTTTGGACAGAAGGGAGGCAAGAAGGAATGAAAGTAGAAAACAAGAAGGAATGAAGGCAGAAAAAGTCAAGTAATAACATAGTTAAGGTTAAGAGCCAGACAGTCTGATGTTTAAGATTCCCATCTTGCTCTGTATCCTGTGTCTTTGTTCCTTTGGGCAGAGTTTATGTTGACACTAGACCAGTCTTCTCTTGCTTGTGTGGGCACCCACTGCAGGCCTGTGTGGGCCTCCCGAAAGGGCTTCTCTGACTACCTGGAGCATCTCATCCATAAGTAGAGGCTCCACTTGTTTTCTTGACACTCTCCATGTGGCTTGCCCATCCACATTTTGCTTAGATGTTTATTTGATTGTATCTCTTCCCTCAGTGGTCACATTCTTTATTTTTTTCTCTTTGAGTTGGAATCTCACTTTGTCACCCAGACTTGGAGTGCCTTGGCACAGCCACTGCAGCCTGAACCTGCTGGGCTCAGGTGATCCTTCCACCTCAGCCTTCCAAGTAGCTGGAATTACAAACGCGCGCCACCACACCCAGCTAATTTTTGTGATTTATTGTAGAGATGAGGTCTCACCAAGTTGCCCAGGCTGGTCTCGAGCCCCTGGTCTCAGGCAGTCCTCTCCCTCAGCCTTTCAAAGTGTTGGGATTGCAGGCTGAGTCACCACACCTGGCCGAGGACCTATTTTTAAAAAATCAGACATCTACATATAATTATATACCAGTTCCCCTGCTTGTTAGTGTGGCCTTGGGCATCTATTAATACTGAATTTTTCAGAACACCCATTTTGTTAGCTGTAAAATGGGAACATTACTCACCTTGTTAGAATTGTTACAACAATAAAATGAGATGGTATAAATAAAGCTCTTAGCTCAATACTCTGTTCCTAGCATAATGTACAGTGAGCAAATATTCTTTCTCATTTCCTTCCCCTCTGGATTTAGACTTTTGCTATTCCTTTTGAAAACCTCAGTCCTTATTTAGGTCATGACCTGGGGTTGGATGTGGTGGACAGGCAGGTGGTTGTCGTGTGAGACTTCTTTTCCTGGTAGTGACTGGCTTTCCTCAGACCCTTCCTATCATTGTCACCTTTTGGATGCAGTCCCGTCCCCTTGATCTTATGGTTGAGTTGCTGATTAGCTTGTATTTTAGTCTTATTCCAAGTTCTGATTTGTGTACAAGATCCATCACATTTATTTCTTTTGCAAGGGTCTTGTAACTGAGCCAGAGTTCAGAAGCTTTTCTCGAAGCTCATCTGATATAACTCTTTTGTATTTTGGAACATTTCCTGAGCATATTTTGTTCTAGTTTGTTCCAGGAGCGGGCCCCATGTTTCCTTTGTTGGAGTTGCTACTGCCATTCTCTGCCATGTTGACTTCAGATAAGTGACAGTGCCACACCCTTGACCACAGGGTCCAGATTCCTTGCCTTCTCTTCTGGGTTCAGCCTTTTGGCCCCTGATCTCTGTGCCGGTAACCCCCTAGAGATGCCTGCTCAGAACAGCATTATGATTACAAACATGGGCAGAATTTTTCCAGTGAACATTATTTTTATTTTTTATTTTTGAAACAAGGCCTTACTCTGTTGCCCAGGCTGGAGTGCAGTGGCATGATCCTGGCTTAACCACAGTCTTAATCTCCTGGGCTCAAGCAGTCCTCCCACCTCAGCCTCCTGAGTAGCTGGCATTACAGGTACACATCACCATGCCTGGCTAATTTTTTTGTAGAGATGAGGTCTTACTATGTTGCCCAGGTTGGTCTCGAACTTCTGGACTCAAGTGATCCTACTGCCTCAGCCTCCCAAAGTGCTGGGATTACGGGTGTAAGCCCCTGGGCCCGGCCTCCAGTGAACTTTAAACTGCCTGATAAGATGCCATAGAGTACACATGAGGGGTGAGCAGGTGCCTGATGAGCACGTGGGTGAGCTCTGCTACTTTTGCCAGTAGACTAGACTATCACTCCCATGCCTGAGAGATCCAGGAACACGTGTGGAGCAGCTGGAAATGATTTGGGCTTCCACATAATTTAGGGCTTCCTGAAATAGCTCAAGAAAGTTACTTGTGAGTGGACTTTGTTTAAACAGTCTTGCTCATCATCCTGTGGAAAACACTGGCATGTGCTTTCTTCTGCCAACAGGAGAAAAGCCCTGAGCTTTCAGGGCTCTGGGCAGACTGCTGGACTTTCTGCTGCCTGAGGAGTATGGCCCCACATGCTTGCTGGGCAGCCAGACCCCTGCCTGTGACTGGAGGCAGTCTTCCTGGGCTCTCCAGGGGGTTGCTGGCCCTACTGACAGCCTGCCTCAGCCTCAGGAGTTCTGTCCCACATCCTTCCACTCTCCAAGCCACCAGCTATGTTCCTGCTGGAAATACTCCCCATAGGTGCCCAAGATGTGGACATTATGGAGCAGGGAGGGTTTCAGAGACACAGCTTTAGGAAGAGATCTCTGTTCTAGGAGTCAGAGAACGAGGCCTCTGTGAGTGTGGTCGATTTTCTTGCTTGTTCTTTTGAAGTCTGACTGCACTGTTGATCATAATGAGATGATGACCTGCTCTCATCATTGGTATGTAAGGTGTATCAGAAAGCTTAGATAATGGGGTTGATATATATAATAATAGTAAAGAAAAGACAACCAGCTTTCAGACCTGCCTCTACTTCACCAGCTCTGGAACGTGGGACAGGCACAGATGTGCTTGTTTGAGCATCCTCCACTGTAAGCTGAGGGGTTGGGCCTCTGTGTGGTCTCTGGGGTCCCTTCTCCTTCTAAGTATTCTCTTTTTACTGTTCAAGTAGCTGCTTTTCAGAGTGGTGGCCCCAGGATGTCTCTGACTTCCACTCACCTGTCCTACCTGACTGCCTCCATGGGCTCTCTCACTCTGTCTTTTGTATCATCTCTTGCTGGGAGCTTTGTCTTCTGCTCATGCCCGTCCCATCCCATCATCCCTTTCATGTCCACTCACTCCCATCCATTCCCTTTGCCCCTCTCTCACCTAGGTGCCCTCCCACCTGCTCACTCTTACCCATTCCCTTCACCCCTCTCTCACCCAAGCAGCCTTCCCTTCTTACCTTCACCCCCCCCGCCCACCTGGGCACCACCCTCTGTTTTCCAAGGTCCTGTCCAGGCTGCTCTGGTGGCGTCTTTGCCGCCCATATCTTTCCCAGAACCTGCATATTCAACCCTGATCTCCAGCCTGAACTCCGTGTCCTTGTCCATAGGATGTTTCTCCCAAAATCCCTTCCACATTGAAGTCCTGGACTTGTTCCTTAACCAGATCCCTTTCTGACATCCCGTTCTTGTGCCATGAGGGCCATCTTTCTGTCGGCTGCCTGGACATGCTTGTCGGTCTTGTCTCTAGTCTCAGAATTTATCCCGTTCCTGCCTATACCCTTGCATCTGTGAAGTCTCTGCATTCTTCCTGCATGTCATAGATCTCATTTCCCCACCTCTTTCCACTACCTTAACTGATTCAAGGTTGCAGCAAATCACTGCATGATGTCTTATTTGGCCTCCTTGCCCCATGGTGCTAATCCAACCTTCATGCCTCTAAAAGGACCCTTTCATCAAAATCTGATATTGGATGAAGGCTGAGCCTTCTGCCCGTGCATTTCTCTCATCATTGCAGTCATCCTCGTGTGCGAGACTTCAAACCCACCTGTGGGTACCCAGCTGGCCTTGCATGTAGTGCTCCTGCTGGAACATTGTTCCTGCACCCCCCAGGGATTCCACGCCCACCTGTTTCCGGGGTGCCGCTTTAGACTTGCCCCTCTCAGGGACTGCTGTGACTGTCGCCAGTAATGATTCTCCTGTGGTGTCTCCCGCACCACCGCCTTCACTCATCTGACACCCGATGTTGCCGTTAATGATGCGTGATCTCTCTGCCTGTACCTTGTCAGTGAGGCTGACTTCTGGGCTTGAGGCCAGTTGACTAGATCATTTGTGCAATGCATAAGGAAAGTGTGATTCAGTGGCGTGTTTCGCGTGGTGTGCACACATAAGACACACAATAAGCGCTTATGGAATGAATGAGAGAATGCTGCTGGACCTTTCAGCACCTGCTGTTGTCACCTTGCTGATTTGTCAGAGTCTACTTTAGCCAAGAAAGCTTGAGCCGGACTAAATCTTCCTCCACGTCTGCAGTTGGCTTCCAGCCTGTTTTGTTTGGAAAGTCCAATGATACAACATGGCTGGTCCCAATTGGTACCCAGTCAGTTTTACAAGGTTGGCAACTGCCTTTTTTCTTCTCCTTTCATCTCTGTCTCAACTTTTTGGTCCATTTGTCTGGACCATTTCTTCTCTACAGAATGTATCTCAAAATGTTCTCAAAGTATCTTGACCATCCTTCTGTGCTTGTGGAGTGGTAGACAGGAATCCATGGATGTAACCCTATAAAAACACTTTTATAGGAAGTTAGGCTGCTCCCCTCTGTCCCCTGGTTTGTGGTTTGTAATTGTGGTTCATCTGTAAGAACTGCAGGATTGCCATCTTCTCAGTTACATGTCTGTGTCTTCCCCGTGAGCTGAGGAAACGCTGGGTGGCCGCCTGACTCCCTCCCTCCTGACAAGGAGAAGAGGAATAGGTTGTTTTCTCCGAGGGCCTGGTGACGGTTTGTGGTCAGCATGGGATCAAGAGTGGTGCTCTCAGGCTGGTTGAACGCTCCTCCTCCTCACAGGGCTCCTAGGACCTTACTGCTCGTGTCCCATGTTTTGCCCTAAGGTGTCACCTCTGGCTTTAGGGGCCTTGTCTTACCTGGGCGTGTGCTCACATTACGGTGAGGTGCAACTTCTGTGTACTCTGCATTAGAGCAGACCAGCATACATTTCTATAGATTGTGTTCTGATGCTCCTTAGTGGCTTGTCGTGGACCAGAACGGGCCTCTGAATCCAAAAGCGAGCAGACACTCTGAGTCATGACGTGGCCTTGCCCACCTCCAGCCAGAAGTTCAGAGTCAGTGGTGGCGCCGCCATCCCTGCCTGCAAGGCTGTGTTGGTGCAGTGATTAGCATGTTTTGTTATGCTTTGCTTTTTTAAAATAAACGTTAGTAAAACAAAGATGAAAGTGCTAATAAGAAACACTGGTCTTTCAACTTTAATAGTGTTGAGAACAAGATGGAGTGGAAGTTTTTAGACACATGGGAAGCAGTGAGTCTTTCAGTTCATTTGGGCATTAGTTGGACCTATGCCAATCTACTGTCACTTATGAAATAAAAGAAAAATAAGGAACTGGTGTGAAGTGCTGGAACTACATGGCCAACAACTGGGCTTAAAAAGGGCAGGTGGAATTAGAGATTCTGCAATACAGGTGTAGCACCCTAATTTGAAAATCTGAAATGCTTTAAAGTCTGAAGCTTTCTGAGCACCACCCTGATGCCACAATAAGTACTTAGCACAGACTTTGTGCCATGCACGCAATTATTACAACTGTTGTATAAAATTGCCATTCTGCTGTGTGTACAGACTATATATGAAACATGAATGAATTTCTTGTATAAACTTGGATCCCATCCCCAAGTCTCTATAAATATGCAAAAATTCCAAAATCCAAAAAAGGCCCAAACACTGCAGGTCCCAAGCATTTCAGGTAAGAGATGTGTTCTAAGCTAGGCTTCCCTAGTGAGATGGACGTCAGTTGTTGAACTTTCTCCATTTGACTTTCAGCTCTGTTTAAGGAAACATTCAGTGGAGTCTTTTCCAAAGCATGCTAGCTCACTGGTTCCTGTGAAAAGCTTTCCCCTGTCACACACAGAACCTCCGTCTATGAGAGTGGATGGGATTGCTGCCGAGCATGGGACTATTCAACTCCCTGGCTGTCCTGGTGGCCTTCTCGGCTAGCCTGATGGAAGTGTGTTGGGGGCGGGGGGTGGGTGTGTGTGAAGGAGAGGCTGTGTGGCACAGAGAGGGCTCATTACTAAACCTCTTAGTGTTGTTATTGTTTTGGACCTTTTTTTGAAACAAAAAACAAGTCATACCTTTAACTTAGCATCATTGACATCCCTCTGAGTTAGAAAATATAAATTTGAGAGTTGCCTCTTCTAATGCGAGTGTACTGTAATTTGTTCAACCATTTCCTGATTGTTGACTTTCCATTTATTTCTAATTATTTCACTCTAAGCATGTAATAAGTATCCTTATGTGTATGTTATGATGCTTCTGATTTTATAAGCTTGATTCCCAGAGGTGGAAGTAATGGGTTAAACAACAGATTTAAAAATTTAATAGATGGCCCAGCATGGTGGTGTGTGCCTGTAGTCCTAGCTACTCTGGAGGCTGAGGCAGAAGAATTGCTTGAGCCCAGGCATTTGAGTCCAGCCTGGGCAACATAGCAAGGCCGTATCTCTAAAAAAAACCAAAAAAAATTTAAATTAACAAATGTTGTCATATTACCTCTCCAAAAATGCACACCAATTTTTACTCCTTCCAGCAATATAGAGGTGGGCCCTCCATTTCCCATTTTAAGTTCTTGCTGGTTGGGAAGTGGAAAAGGCATCTTTTTTTTTTTTTTTTTTTTTTTTGAGTTGGGAGTTTCACTGTCTTGCCCAGGCTGGACTGCAGTGGCATCATTAGGTTTCACCATGGTCTTAACCTTCTGGGCTGAGGTAATCCTTCTGCTTCAGCCTCCTGAGTGGCAAGGAATACAGGTACACCTCCATGCCTGGCTAGATTTTTAAAAACTTTTTTGTAGAGACGAGATCTCGCTATATTGCCTAGGCTGGTCTCAAACTCCTGGGCTCAAGCAATTCTTCCTCCTCAGCCTCCCAGAGTGCTGGAATTACAGGCATGAGCCATTGCACCGGCTGGAAAAGGCATTTTATTGTTGCTTTAATTTGCATTTTTTTGACTACCAATAAGCTTAAGCAACTTTCTACATAGCTTTGCTGTTTGTACAGGTTTGCCATTTGTACTCTTTAGCATGCGTGTTGTAGATTGTTTTCCTAGCGCTTTTGTCTTTTACTTTGTTTATAGTGCCTGTTGACATTAACTTTTAAAACCTCTTTATGTTATTTGTACTGTTTTGTTCGTGCCTTATAGCTTTTCTCACATTATGCTACCTCTTTTTTTCCCTAAATGTATGCTATGATATTTTAGAGTTTCTGTTGTCAGTTTGAATGGGCTTTTTTCTTTTCCATTTCTACTGGCTGTAGCTGACATAGGGAGGAGTTATTGACTTATATATGCTTGTTTTGTTTCCAGACAACTAACTAAATATTTTCCAGTTTTTAGTCTGTTGAGTTCTCTAGGCATATAGTTATAGCATCTCCAAATAAAGATAATTTTATTTTATATCCTTCCAATACTACTTATCCCATTGTTTTCTTTTCTTTTCCTTCTTTCTTTTTTTTTTTTAGTTGGGATCTCACTCTGTTGCCCAGGCTGGAGTGTAGTGGCACGCTCACAGCCACCACAGCCTCAACCTGCTAGGCTCAGACGATCCTTCCACCTCATCCTTTCAAGTAGCTGGGACTATAGGCACACGCCACCATGTCCGGCCAATTTTTTAATTTTTATTGTAGAGATGAGGTCTTGCCAAGTTGCCCAGGCTGACCTCGAACCCGTGGCCTCAGGTTATCCTCTCACCTTGGCCTCTCAGAGTGCTGGGATTATAGGTGTGAGCCCCAGCCTTTTTTTTTTTTTTTTT